CCGTTACGGCATAAAAAACCCAGATTTATTGATTAGGATATAATGGATTGATTACAACTGCGAATGACACTTGTTTTACATACACATACACACACACTACCACACTGCAATGTCTGTCCTAAGAACACGACGATGTGAACTGTCGGACGCAGCTATGGACATGTACACACTCACACGCGTGTCGATAATGCGAAAGATGGGTTATGGAATCACACGTTGTGTGATTCCAAGACGATATTCGTAATTAAATTACGAAGAGATGAGGTGGCGGTTGCACCACTTCCGATAAGTTTTTAGATGAAGTGGCCGTTCGCCACTTCAAAAAAGATGTAGAGGAAGCGGCACGTTACACCACTTCCAATACGATTGGCGTTGCCGTTCGCTACACCGTTAATCGGAATTGAAAGATTTTTACATATTTTGCGAGGTAACTATATAATTCTTGAGGAGAATTATTTTTGAGATGTTTTGGACTAATAGATTGACACTTTGAATTGATAATAACACTGAATTCACACGAAAGATCGATTGACAAGCTTGAGTGCTCGAATAGCGTCGGTTTTACCGTTACACGTGGTGTCATAGACTAGTTGGGTTAGCGTCGGTTGGGCACTTCCCCGCGAGAAACTAGCGAGTCGAGAGGGGGAAAAATTCGCAGCGGTGGCGTGGCGAACTAGATAAAAACTAGAATTCAGCACGCGCGTAGATTTGAACGAGTTACGATATATCATTATATGAATGGAAAGGTCGCCATTGGAGACGCTAAATAACAAAACGCCCTCTACAAATTGCCGGGTTGAGAATACACATAGATGATACATACGCTCATATGTCCATGTGTGACCAGACTTTTATCTTAAAAAAACTAACGCCACCAACGGTAACTAGCGTCGCGAATTGCCAATTCGATTTTCAGAAAAAAGTCGACTTGGCATGCCCGGTTTTTTGGGTATACTTCAGAAAATAAAAATTATGTGTAATTGAGTAGTTGACAGATGGGTGTCGAAGTTCATTTTTAGAAAGCAATAAACAAATTTCGGGGAAAATATTGTACAATCTCCGAAATTAAATCAAAGTTTGGTGACATAGTTACTTGAAAAACATTCGATTGTAGATTATCCCGATTCAACGGTCGATCGAGGAATCAACTGGAAATTATGTAAATCTTTAATACCATATTCATTTGAATCAATTGAGATTTTGAATACTCCAGTTGAGTAATGTTGCAATCCACTGATGAAGTACTGAGGCGTTCTATCCTAATGAATTGATCGGTAACAATCGGTACTTTCCATCAAGGGCCACAGAGTAACACAGTGTTAATTAAGATATGTCTTTGATCAATCACAGTTCTCCGTTTTGGCACTGTGTTAGACAGTGCCTTATGATGGAAAGTGCCAAGTGTAATTGACTTACACCAAAACCGGGCACGCCAAGTGGACTTTTTTCTGAAAATCCAATTGGCAATTGGCGATGCTAGTTACCGTTGGTGGCGCTAGTTTTTTCAAGATGGCCAGTTTGGGAGTGCTCAGAGATATATAAAAGTCTGCTCACACATGGACATATGAGCGTATGTATCATCTATGTGTATTCTCAAGCCGGCAATTTGTAGAGGGCGTTTTGTTATTTAGCGTCTCCAATGGCGACCTTTCCATTCATATATGTTACTGGATTCATTCACTTGAGATATCAGGTCCCTCCAGTCAATATGATTTGTGAACGACGTGCTTGGCGTATTTTTTATTTCAAGTATTTTTTTGTGAATAAAAGTGAGGATATTTTTTTGGAAAATAGGATCAGGCAATAAAACGTCAACTTGGCAAAAATTTTTCACAATACAACAATTACACAACAAAAGCTAGAATGCAGCAAACACCGCCTGTCAATGCACAATTAATCGATTCGACAAGCACACATTCTATGAGATCGGTACGTCGTTAAAGGGTAAGAGGGCGCCACATCCCGGACCCCAACTAGTCCAATCACGACGTCATTAATCCCTGCTTGACCGACCCCAATTTCTCCACCTCAACAGGAAAAAGGTTATAAAGATTAAGAATAAGGAAAAACTCGAGTCCTTGCTGAGTGATATGGAGCGGGTAAGAGTGTCCACCCATCAAGACACAGCCATCTACAACTTCACTTCAGTTCCTCTGCCTGAAAATGTCAAGCGTGTGCTTCGTCTGGAGCCCAAGTTTGGTTTGACTATGAAGAACGAAGAGGTCCCGATCCCAGTGATTGTGAAAGACTTAGAATTCTGCATTCGGAACTTGACAGTTCATGGTGATCCTGACGAAGACCAAGACGCGAAGAAGAACAATATTAGGTCAGAAGCTGTCAACATAGTTTCGAATTTCTGCAAACAACCGAAGCAGAACAGACGGAATCAGCTTAAGAAAGACGTGAGAGCCACCAGACAATTTTTGAAGGATAAAGGAAATGTGATCTTGGCAAGATTGGACAAGAGGAATACCACAGTGTTGATGCTGTAAGATGAGTACACACGGGTCATGGAGGAGATGTTATCGGATGAGTCCACGTACAAGAAGAATGTTAAAAACCCAACCAGGAAACATGAGAAGACGGCGAACTTATTGATCCACAAACTCAAGGATGAGGGAGTTATCGACGAGGCTGTAATGAAGAAACTAAAAGCTCGAAACACTGTAATACCTAGGATGTACGGGCTGAGGAAGATCCATAAACAAGGTTGCAAATTCAGACCCGTTGGCAGCTGCATCAAGGCCCCCAGCTATGGAATAGCGAGGGCGTTGCATGAATTGTTAGCGGCGGTGAGTAAGACTTCGAGCATCAGAAGTTCGATGGAGTTTGTGAGGTTCGCTTCACAAAAAGTTGAGTAATAAAAATCCTGACTAATAAAAATCCTGAAAAGGGTTTTAGGGGTGTCAAATAAGAGTAACAAATAGAAGGGGGTGATTTCAATGAAATGACATATATTTCCAGTTAAATTTACATGCAGATGGTGAGGCCTTTTGATTCTTATCTAGGGGGAGGGTAAGGCCAAGCGACTCTAACACGCGCAATATCGGGAGGCTCTAATTAATAAAGAAGGGGGGGAGTTTAGTCGTGTCTAGGCGTGTCTCGACTCTTATAATAATTATCTCACTGGGGGGGGGGGGGGGAAGAAAGAAACACAAGTGTGGGCTCACCGCTAGGGGGACGAACCGAGGAGATACGGTTACAGAAATGGTAACGGGGAAAAGGGGAAAATAGCTCGTACTTACGGGCCCTCTCGATTCTGGGGAACTGTCCGGAGTGAGTTACACCTGGGCCTTCTCGGGGTCCTCTCCAGGGAACTTTGAGCCTCCTCTCCACCTCAGGGTCTCCTGGGTTATCTCCTCGACGTGGGATAAGGTCGGAAGTCCTTCGACAATCCTCTTCACAATCGGCAATNGGGTTATCTCCTCGACGTGGGATAAGGTCGGAAGTCTTTCGACAATCCTCTTCACAATCGGCAATGCTCTTTACACACTCTATGTTCTGGTCTTTTTCTGGGCACAACTAATATAACGCGTCACTCAGGGCAGTCGTCAGACGAGTGAGTTTCCTTCCCGTCAACGTCTTCTTCGCAGGGGAGCAGATCGAGGTGGGCCAGGCGCGGAATCGTCATCCGCTTTCCGGGTGCCTGAGGCGAAGGGGGCGTTCTTCGGGGTTTCTTCCTGGGGTGCCGGTGTTCCACTTTTAGTCTAGGGCCGGAACTGTTCTCCATCCTGGGGTCTCGTCGTTGCTGGTCGAGGGGGACGGAAGGGTGAGGTGGGGAGGGAACTAGAGTAGTTGTGGGGGGAAAGATAAGGTAGCCAGCGGTGGCCAAATATATAGTATTAGGGGGCAGTGTAGTTGGGGGAGATAAAGAGTATAAAAATAATGAAAAAATAAAAAGGTTGCCTCGTCACAAATGCCCTGGTGGTAGAGAATACATGGGGTGGTCATTTTACCACCCCCATGTTGAACGATATTACTATTTAACTTAACTACTTACCAGGAGAGGTGAGTCTGGAAGGAAGGCTCTCAATTAATTTCATTAATAATATTTTATTGTACGGGATATTTTCCTCGCGATTCCCACCATACAAAAATAACTCATACTTTTCTTTAACTGAAATATATAATTTGCGCTTGGGCACGTCACCGGCCAGCGGTGATTGATAATAATAGAAAAACAAAAAATAAAAATAATACACGATGGGACGGGAACAATGAAAGGAACATTTTAGTGGGTGTTATTGGTGTTATTGCACTCGTCTCATATTCTGGGGTATTTCGGACCACATTGGGTCATGCGAAATATTCTTAACTTAATCCTAACCTAATTGCAGGGTTCTTGGAATGCGTCAGGGCCCTCCCAACTTTCTCTGAATATTTTAAGCCTTTTTTTCAGATCCAGCTGGTCATGGTCCCAGGGGTAAAGAGGACATTGGGTTCTATTTTGGGTTCTCCGGGCATTTCAGGGCCTTATGGGAATCTTGAGGGCACATCATGACTCTTGCGGGGTTCTTGTGACTAGGGGGATTTTGAACTCTGGGATATCAGGGTGAATATTTACAACTATGGGGTTTTTCCGGGTTATTTCTGGGGATTTTGGGGAATTCTAAGGGTCGGTCTAGGTATTTGGGATCGTGTTCTGGGTTCTTTAAGGGTATTTCGGGGCCTCGTGGGGAGCTTAGGGGCTTTCCTGGGGGATTTCGGGCCACTTTGGGACCTTACGGAATATACTAACTTAATTCTGGGAACTATTCTTAATCGGGGCCTTCCTTGAAGATTTTAGGCCACTCTTGGGCCATACAAGGTATACTCAAATAACTCGGGGCTTCCTTTGGGTATTTCGGGCCACTCTCGGGCCATACGAAATAATAAAAAACATTTTTGGGTATTATTCTGGGTCTTTCGGGGATAGGGGCACTTACTGACCTATAACTAATCAATTCCCTTGATTTCTAGTTCGGGGGGGTATCGGGGTGAATAATTAACCTATTCTACATTTAAGACTGAATCCTGTGATACCTGTGGGATTTTGGGATATTTTGGGGAATTTTTGGGGGTGGTCGTGATTCATTGGGGTTTTCGGGGATTTTTAGCAGGACTTGGGGGTTTCCAGGAAATTTTCGAGACTCTAGGGGATATTTCTGGACTCTCCGGATCATTCTGTGGAATCTGGAGACATGGTGGGATATTCCTAGGATTCCTGGGGGATTGAGGGTTCTTCTAGGGCGTTCTGGTATGCTAGGGGTCTTTTCTGGGATAGCTGGGGTAACTGGAAGGGGTTTTGAGGTATTTGGAGACATTCTGAAATTTCCTAGGGGCTGGGGTGACCTTGATTCTACTAAGTGAAAGTGGAATGCTGACTTGGTTTTACCGGGCTTTCCATCAACTGCATGGGGACGAGGGATTCTAAGATTCTCAGGTGGAGGGATTGGATTCAGATCAAAGAGACGGGGGCTTTTCAGACTCCTGATCGTAAGACTTCGATTCAGGCTGGGGGGACGGGGAATGTTCAGGGACATGAGTGGGGGAATTGGATCTAGGACGGGTGATCGGGGAATTTTGAGGGACATGGAGGGGGGGTTTTGATCCAGGATGGGTGGCCGGGGAATTTTGAAGGACATGAGTGGGGGGATTGGATCTAGGACGGAGATCGGGGAATTTTGAGGGACATGAGTGGGGGGATTGGATCTAGGACGAGGATCGGAGAATTTTGAGGGACATGGGGGACGGTTTTGATCCAGGATAGGTGGCTGAGGAATTTTGAGGGACATGAGTGGGGGGATTTGATCCATCTGGGGAGGGAGTTTGGGATCTTCAATTACTTCCTCTTTGAGATCTTTAACATTTGCATTCTCTTTACTACTGCTGGGATTTCCAAGGGATTGATCCGGTCCCGGGGGAATTGGGGGGCATTGCTCTGTAGGGTCCTGGGGTGTCTGCTCAAGGGGTAGGTTAGGTGGTCCGGCAACTGTCAGGGTGGCTAGGTGGGGCTGACTGGGATACGAAGGAACTGAGGGCTCTAGGGCTTTCGAGGGGCTGAGGTCCATTGTACTAGTTCGAGGCTGACTGAGGGTAACTTGAAATTCACCTGAGGGGAGTTCAATTCTGGGAGCTTCTCGCTTACGGTTGGTTCGAGATGACTCAACAATCTGTGAGGTCTCTGAACTCCTGTTCTGGGGGCTTACTTGATTTAACGAACTTCCCCAGAGCTGGGTGGGAAAGCCTAAAAGGGACAGAGGGATGTAGGAAGAATCAACTTCTTTATTCCACTCAGCGGCCACATCGCCAAACTTTTTTCTCACTTCCAATCTGACGAATCGATCTATCAAAACCTTGGGACTTCCAAAAATATTTACTTTATGGGCATCTAGAAGAGCTCTCTGCTCATAGGGGCACAGTTCCTCAAATCGACGTTTAACTTCCTCTCGATAATGGGAAATCTCGGAGGAGGGGGAGGGGACGGGTGTACTGGGCAGAACTGGGGTGGCAAACCAGGGGGCAGATATAGGGTCGGCGTTGGGTCTCGGGGTCATCTTATTAACGTTTATAAATTTCCAAAATGTTCTAATGTGACTCCACTTCTCAAGAAGCACAAAAAAAAACTAAAACTAAAAATAATAACGAAAAACTATTAACTTAATCCGAAAAACTATTGATTTGATAGAGGGATTCTAAGTTAACTTTAGGGGGGGGGGGGTTTTTTCCCAAAATCAGCCGATTTTTACAGCTCAAAAAGGAATTTGGGGTAACGAATCGAAAGGGAGCTGTTGGGGGTACCTTCGGAGGGGTTAGTTAATTAAAAACCACAATTATTAACAATTGTCAGATTTTTAATTCCGGGAACTAGAAATTCGGGAGTATTTTCGGATTAGGACAGGGGGAGAATGAGGGAATCAAAGAAGATAGGGGAATAAATCGGGCGAAAAAGGAATATCAGAGACGAATGAGTGGAGCCCATTGATAATATCCCATTGATAATCCCCGATAATCCGGTACCTCGCGACAATGGGGGAACACCCGAAATTGTGGAAAATTAAACTTAGAGGTACAAGTGCCACGCGTGACGTCGTCAAGACCGACACTTGGACCTCAACGGTGGACAAGGGGTGAGGGGGGAAGGGGTTTACTCGAAATAATATTTCGCCACGGCGTGATATATGCGAGCGATGGTTTCCTGGTGAAGTAAATTCAGATTTCAGGGGCTGGTGATGGCAGAAGGGGGCGGCGGAAGATGGGGGCACAAGGGACATATAAAAGAAAGAGAAATACAAGGGAAAAAATATAACCGGAGATAAATAATTCTCCAGGACAAAGAGTTCGATGCCGTGGTACCGTGACCTTGCGCGAAACCGCAAACACCCGCAACGATGAACCACACGCAGAGGAATTTGTGCAAAAGCAATATTATCGGGGGGAACTGAAAATGAAAGGTTGAAAAGAGTAAAAAGGGGGGAAGTCGCGTGGGTAATGAGCGCTTGGCCCCACGTCGGGCGCCAAATTGTAACCGCGTTATCTGACTAATAAAAATCCTGAAAAGGGTTTTAGGGGTGTCAAATAAGAGTAACAAATAGAAGGGGGTGATTTCAATGAAATGACATATTTCCAGTTAAATTTACATGCAGATGGTGAGGCCTTTTGATTCTTATCTAGGGGGAGGGTAAGGCCAAGCGACTCTAACACGCGCAATATCGGGAGGCTCTAATTAATAAAGAAGGGGGGGAGTTTAGTCGTGTCTAGGCGTGTCTCGACTCTTATAATAATTATTTCACTGGGGGGGGGGGGGGGAAGAAAGAAACACAAGTGTGGGCTCACCGCTGGGGGGACGAACCGAGGAGATACGGTTACAGAAATGGTAACGGGGAAAAGGGGAAAATAGCTCGTACTTACGGGCCCTCTCGATTCTGGGGAACTGTCCGGAGTGAGTTACACCTGGGCCTTCTCGGGGTCCTCTCCAGGGAACTTTGAGCCTCCTCTCCACCTCAGGGTCTCCTGGGTTATCTCCTCGACGTGGGATAAGGTCGGAAGTCCTTCGACAATCCTCTTCACAATCGGCAATCCTCTTTACACACTCTATGTTCTGGTCTTTTTCTGGGCACAACTAATATAACGCGTCACTCAGGGCAGTCGTGAGACGAGTGAGTTTCCTTCCCGTCAACGTCTTCTTCGCAGGGGAGCAGATCGAGGTGGGCCAGGAGCGGAATCGTCATCCGCTTTCCGGGTGCCTGAGGCGAAGGGGGCGTTCTTCGGGGTTTCTTCCTGGGGTGCCGGTGTTCCACTTTTAGTCTAGGGCCGGAACTGTTCTCCATCCTGGGGTCTCGTCGTTGCTGGTCGAGGGGGACGGAAGGGTGAGGTGGGGAGGGAACTAGAGTAGTTGTGGGGGGAAAGATAAGGTAGCCAGCGGTGGCCAAATATATAGTATTAGGGGGCAGTGTAGTTGGGGGAGATAAAGAGTATAAAAATAATGAAAAAATAAAAAGGTTGCCTCGTCACAATATTAAATAAAGTATTTCTTTATCAACTATTACGAGTCCATTCACCGCATTCCTGAGTTTCCGATCTTTGTATAACAACAGGTTACGGACCCAGTTCGATTCAGGAATCAGTGGTTTAGTTGATAAAGTGTGGGGGTCTATGTGACAGAGGTTAGAAGACTGTTGATTCGTATAAGTATCTATGTGACAGAGTTCAAACGACGGTTGGTTCGCATCGTTTGTTTAAAAAAAAAATCGCTATGACGGATGGGACAGTGAGTTCCACGAGGATTCAGTATCTCATGAAGGATAATTATGATACCTGGAGGCTCCAGGTTGAGGCTTCATTGCCATAAAGCAAGACACGTGGGATTACGTTAGTGGAGAAAAACCGGCACCCAAAGTCAATGAAGGGGACGTAACATCTGAGGCGCTTTACAAATCGTGGCAATGCGAGGATTTGAAGGCAAGTTCTGACTTAGTGTTGACAATTAAACCAGCAATATTGAAGCAACTTAAATACTGCAAAACGTCGAGACAACTATGGGACAAGTTAGAGTGTATGTTTGCTTCGGAAGGTCCTGCTCGGAAAGCTACGTTATTGCGAAAAATAGCTTTATATAAAATGGCGGAAGGAGAGGACGTGCAAGAGCATATGAATAACTTTTTCGACGCAGTGGAGAAGATAGGACATATGGGAATCGAGATATATCTCGAATTGATTAGTATTTTGCTGTTGTTTAGTTTGCCCCCCTCGTATGAAAATTTCAGATGTGCGATTGAGTCCAGAGATGATTTACCTGATCCTGATGTGTTGAAAGTCAAAATTAGTGAATTTAATGAGGCTCGTCAGACATTAAAAACTGATGATGTAGTGGATGATGATGTTTTCATGGATCCAACTGGTGAAGAGGAGAATTATTTTTCCCCAGACGATATTTCACTAAATGAAAATGAGAATGTGGGTGAGTCTGAAGTAAATTTTTTAGAAATTATTGCGAACATAGCTGAGGTAGATGTTTCAGAGGCATTGACAGGCCCTGATGCAGCTGAGTGGAAGAAGGCTATTGTGGAGGAAATAAGATCACATGTGAAGTACAGGACATGGGAAATAGCAGAGTGTACACCAGGTAAACATGTTATTGGGTGTAAAACGGCGCTGAGAAATAAGTACCATCCAGATGGAACGTTGGAGGGAAGGAAGGCTCGTCTGGTAGCTCGTGATTTCACCCGGAGGCCAGGTTATGATTATGTCGATACTTTTGTTCCTGTTGCACGACTGGTAGCTATCAGGTTGATGATGGCATTAGTAGTTCAGAGTGAAATACAGGTTTATCAGCTTGATGTAACTACCACTTACATAAATGTACGTATTGAAGAGGAGTTATATATGGAGTCCCCACGAATTCTGCAAGTTCTTGAACACATTATCAAGGAAGAGAAACAAGTTGACGTACTTGAGAGAGCTGAGAGGATGCTGAAAGACTTGAAGTTTCGTAAGAATGTTTGCAGATTGCGGAAGGCGCTGTATGGGTTGAAGCAATCTGGAAGACAATGGCATTCAAGGTTGGATGAGCTTCTTCAGGGTATAGGATTGGTTCCAACGCACTCAGATCCTTGTGTTTACGTGTTTCAGGAAAGTCAAGGTCCAGTGATGGTATTGATTTATGTGGATGATATCTTGGTCATGGCGCCTGAAAACAGTTGGCAGAAAAAAATCAAGAGTACTTTGAATAGAGAATTTGAAGTAAAAGGTAGGGGTATTGCTGACTACTGTCTGGGAATTGAAATTGAGCAGAAGAAGGATCAGATCAACGTTTATCAGAGGAAGTATGTCGAGGATACACTCAAAAAGTTTAACATGGTGAATTGTAATCCAGTGTCAACACCAGCTTGCGTTGAGATGAAACTCGAGAAGGCGAAGGATGATAAAGATAAGAAGATTGGTCCTTACAGAGAGTTGATTGGGTCATTGATGTATCTAAGTGTGGCTACAAGACCGGATATTTTCCAGACAGTGCGTATGCTGTCTCAATAACATGAATGTCCAACAACAGCACACTAGGGCGCTGCTAAGAGGGTTCTTAGATATCTAAAGGGAACTCTGAATATATCTCTAGTTTACAAGAAGTCAGATCTTGGACTACATGGCTTCGTGGATGCTGATTACGGAAATTTTCCACTTGACCGAAAATCATATACTGGATTCGTGTTCTTGATGAGTGGAGCAGCGTTGGACTGGAAATCTCAGAAACAATCAGTGGTTGTGCAGTCAACGGTCGAGGCTGAATATCTCAGTATGGCAGAGGCGTCCAAGGAAGCAGTGTTTCTTCGTACATACTTGGGAGAGTTGGGATATATTTTGCCTGCTGAAATTATGCTGTATTATGACAATGCTGGAGCGCAGATTGTTGCAAAGAATGATATGTTTCACCCAAAGATTAAACATATTGACATACGCTATCATGCAATTCGTCAAGTGATGAAGAAAATTATCAAGTTTGAGCACGTAGCTACAGAGGAAATGGTGGCTGATATGATGACAAAAGCATTGCCGGTACCGAAGCACGACTATTGCACCAGAAGACTCGCACTTGTTATGACTTGTTAGAAAGGAAAGAGATTAATTTTGTTTGTCTATTACAGAGTATATCCTACAGATTGATTGGAACCGAACAAAGGTGTTCGATTTGAGAAGGCGTGTTAGAATACGAGATGCAAATCTTCCCGTGTGACGTCACATTCCAAATTGGTACCAAATATCAGCCTACGATGGCACTAATCAGTTAATTTGTTCCTTACTGTTCCCTTCCGTCTGTTATTGCCATCGAATCATCACGAGGTGTATTTGCTTCTATACTATTTAATACATATTAAATGTAGTATTCCTTTATCAACTATTACGAGTCCATTCACTGCATTTCTCAATTTCCGATCTTTATATAACAACAATTTTTTTTCATTCGTATCATTTGGGGCCCAGAGAAGGGCCAACCGGCTGTGAAAATAAGCATTTTCTTCAACTGAAAAAGAACTATACCAAGAAAAACAATCATTTCAAG